TATATATGGCGTCCTGGTGTGGCACTGTGGGATAGGGCACTGGACCATAAGGTCAGTTTGATTCACAAGGTCAGTGGTTCAAACTCACCAGCCACTCCTTAGAAACCCTATACAGGGTCACTATGAGTTGGAACCAACTCAGTGGCACTTAACAACAACAACAATACATGACTACTAAGAAGTAAAATATGGAAGTTAATTTATAGAAAAAGAATTCAACTCATACTAGCCTACCAAAACATTTAAAAAATATTTTCTAAATGTTAGATTTCAGATGTTAAAGATGCTTTCACCAATTTCCTAACTTCCTTTCCACATTTTTAGCTACTTTTTTTAGACTGAATTTCTCTTTTAAGTATTGCCCTGAAATCAATAAACTGAAGCAGTAAAATGTTTTTAAAATGCTAATTTTAAAAATAGCACTTACAATTTCCCAGTGAATACAATACCATACATATACTAAGCACTGTAAGTATCAGTCATCTGAGATCAAAAGGGCAGCATTTGTCCAAAAACAAAGTGTAGAAGGCAGGAAAGAAGGATGACTGGAAATGGGAAACCCAGGGTGGAAGTGGGAAGAGTGCTGTTACATTGAAGGATTGCAATCAATGTCATGAAACAAATGTGTGTAAATTGTTGAATGGAAAATGAATTTTCTTTGTAACTTTCAGCCAAACTATAATCTGTCATTATTGTAAAGTGGCGTCTCGTAGATTCCAACTCATTGGTTGTTGTTGTTAGGTGTCATAGAGTTGGTACCGACCCATAGCGACTTTATACACAGCAGAATGTAACATTGCCTGATCCTGGGCCAGCCTCACTACCGTTGCCGTGCTTGAGTCCATCGACGCTGCCACTTGGCCAATACATCTCATTGGGGGTCTTCCTTTTTTTCTCTGACCCTCCACCTTACCAAATATGATATCCTTCTCCAGTGACTGGTCCCTCCTGACAATATGTCCAAATTATGAGAGATGAAGTTTGGCCATCTTGGCCTCCAAGTAGCACTCTGGCTGCACTTCTTCTAAAACAGAGCTATTGGTTCTTTTGGCAGCCCATGGCACTTTCAATATTCTCCTCCAACACCATAACTCAAAAGCATCAATTCTACTACAGTCTTCCTTATTCACTGTCCAGCTTTCGCATGCATATGAGGTTATTGAAAATACCATGGCTTGGGTCAGATGTACCTTAGTCCTCAAGCTGACATCTTTCGTTCTTCAACACTTTAAAAAGGTCTTGTGCAGCACATTTGCCTAATGCATTATGTTGTTGAGTTCTGGACTGCTGATTCGGTGAGTGTTGATAGCTGATCCAAGAAGAATGAAGTCCTTGACAACTTCAATTTTTTTCTCCGTTGTTAAGAATGTTGTTTATTGGCCCATTGGTGAGGATTTTTGTTTTCTTGACATTGAGATGTAATCCATACCAAAGGCTGTGCTCTTTGATCTTCATCAGTAAATGTTTTAAGTCGTCTTCACTTTCAGCAAGCAAGGTTGTATCATCTGCATACTGCAGGTTGTTAATGAGTCTTCCTCCAATCCTGATGCCACGTTTTTCTTCATATAAGCCAGTTTCTCGGATTATTTGCTCAGCATACAGCTTGAATAAGTAGGTGAAAGAATACAACCTTGTTGCACATCTTTCTTAATTTTAAACCATTCAGTGTTCCCATGTTCTGTTCAAACAACTGCCTCTTGGTCCAGGTAGGGATTCCTCATGAGCAAAATTAAGTGTTCCGGAATACTCATACTTCGCAATGGTGTCCATAGCTTGTCATGATCCACACAATCGAAAGCCTTTACGTAGTTAATAAAGCACAGGTAAACATCTTTCTGATATTCTCTGCTTGCAGCCAAGACCAATTGGACATCAAAATGATATCCCTCATTCTACAGCCTCTTCTAAATCCAGCTTGAACCTCTAGAAGTTCTCTGTCAGTGTATGATTGTAGCCGTTTCTATATTACCTTTAGCAAAATTTTACTTGCATGGAATATCAGCGAGATTGTCCGATGATTTCCGTATTCCGTTGGGTCATCTCTCTTTGGAATGGACACAAATATGGATCTCTTCCAATCAGTCGGCCAGACAGTTGTCTTCCAAATTTCTTGGCAGAGATGAGTGAAGTGCCTCCTGTGCTGCCTCACTTTCTTGAAAGATTTCAATTCTTATTCCATCAATTCCTGGTGCCTTGTTGTTTGCCAGTTCCTTCAATGCACCTTGGATCTTCCTCCTTCAGTATCACTGGCTCTTGATCATATGCT